TCGCGAGGTTGTTCCTGAGCACTCAGCCCGAGCAAGCATAAGTCAAGCTACCCCGATTCACAGCCATCAATAGAACCTGCATGTGAGGTTTAAGGTTGTGCCGTGTCAGGATTCAGGGCTTCACTGACGAGCCCAAACACGCATCATACTCCCTAAACCCCTAAACCCTAAACCCCTAAATCCTAAACCCTAAACCTTAAACCCCTAAATCCTAAACCCTAAACCCCTACATCCTAGACCCTAAACCCTGACGAGCCCCGGATCCCCGGTGAAACCCTTTATAAAAGGCCCTCTAAGACCCTGTAAAGCCGTCTAAGACACTCGAAAAAAAGCTGTAGAACAAGCCTGAACAATTAGAGTCGCCCTTTTTGGGGATCCGCGGAATAGTGTAACTAGAGTAGCCCTTTTGGGATACTCAAAAACTCCGTGGAATAGTCTGGGCAACTATTCAATCCCCCCTTCCAAACCCCCACGCGCAAGCAGCGGATCGACCTCATAGCTGCCATCAATGAGCCTGGCTGGGCTTAGGGTTTGTGGCTTTGGGTTTCAATACCTGTACAGCTACAAAGCCCTGCCCGACAACGAGTAACCCCGAACCATTCAGCCCTGAAAACAACCCTAAACCCAAAGCCCTTAACCTTCAACCCTAAACCCTAAACCCAAAGCCCTGAACCTTCAACCCTAAACCCTAGACGAGATCTTCAATAGCCCGAAATCTATGCGCAATCATCAAAGAACCCTTGATAGTCCCTGCACGGCCACCAACAAAACCCATACTAACAGTTTTTTTACCCGGAAACCTGCGAAGCACTCATAAGTCATACGCTCAAGGCCCGGAAAACCCTAAGCCCTAAAATCCTAAACCCTAGACCCTAAACCCCGAACCCTAAGCCCCAAGCCCTAAACCCTGAACCCTAAACCCTAAACCCTAAACCCTGAACCCTAACCCTAAACCCTGAACCCTGAACCCTGAACCCTAAGCCCAAGACCCAAAACCCTGAAGTCTAGAAAGCCCGAGCTCGAACCTGGCCTCAAATTCGCGTGGTTGGAGCCCCCTGGCCCGGAGCTGCAGCTGTACACCGTGGGGGACGCGGTGCAATACCTGAGTAGGGTTTAGGGTTTAGGGTTTATGGAGTAAGGTTTAGGGTTTAGGGTTTATGGAGTAGGGTTTAGGGTTTAGGGTTTAGGGTTGATTAAGGCCCCCGAACCCTAAACCCGAAACCCCGACCGTCGTCTAACGTTCTGAGTTCGGGGTACAGGGCTGAGGGCTTATAAGGCTGCGGTGAGGGCAGCATGGGATCTAATTGTGATAGGCCCCAATCCACAAACCCCAAATTGAGAAAACCCTAAAGCCCAAACCCGAAGCCCCAAAACCCGAGTGGTTCCTGGTGCTTTTAGCCCGAAGCATGAACATGGCCTGGAGTCCAGAGAGGATTGAAGCTGGAAGAAGCCAGACATGGGTTTAGGGTTTAGAGTTTAGGGTTTAGGGTTTAGGGTTTAAGGCTTAGGGTTTAGGGTTTAGGGTTAGGGCCCGCTAAGACCCCAGATCCCTAAGCTTGCAACATAGGGCTCTTAGTAAATAGAATACGGTTTCTTTTTTTAAGGGTCCCGCTAAATGGTTCTGTAAAGGTATTTTGATATTATATAGCCCCTGGTATAGTTACACTAGGAACCCTACAGACTAATAGCATCATTAGGGTTTGGGGTTTAGAGTTTACGGCAGTTTCAGCATTCGGGTATATCAGGGCAAAGGACGGCCGCTGAGTGGTAGTCGATACTGTGGTCGTGGTCGTTGTAGTTGTCGTGGTCGTCGTGGTCGTCGTGGTTGTCGTGGTTGTCGCGGTCGTGCTGGGCGTGGGTGTGGTAGAGCCTGCCGAATCGCGCGATGGGAATCTCGCAAAGCCTGAACCATCATAAACCCACCCAAAGCTTTAAACCCTGAACACCTGAACCCCTGAACCGCTAAACTCCCACCCCCTCTTGAAACGATAGCGCACACACACAGTAGTAACAGCAGACCCACATCCCAAACCTTGAAGCAATTCTACACACTGACACCTGCGATAAACCGCCCGGACAGTTATAGTTGCCACAAGGGGTTTGTGTATAGTAGCGGGTCTCCGGCGTGGTGATTGAAAGCAAGTCAGTCGAAGGTTCTTTACGACCACCATGCATAATCGATGCTGAATTTATACTGTGAAAAATTTCGTGCAAAGCGCATAGGCGCTGCCGCCAAGCGAGCCGAGTAGCTGCGATGCTCTTGTAAGTAAAACCCAGAAAGTCTACTCTTAGCTCCGGCTTTATGGCCCAGGCCACTTCTAGCCAACGTGAGGGCGGAGGACCTCGTTTGCTGTTCCTCCGGATACCTACTCTGTCTTTGTATCCTGGCGAGAAGATTACATTGATTACATGATGTATGGGGTGGTCCGAAGAATAGCTACATGTCAGTGCCTCAAGCCCTGAAACCAACCCAAGGCCCTAGGCCCAAAAACCGAACGCGAAAGCGTCCAGAGTCAGAGATCTGCCTCTGCTCTTAAACGTGGTCTATCTTCGACATCACGGAGTAGGGCTGAGGGTTTAGCGGTTGGGGGACATCGCGCAGGAGAGCTGAGTAAAGCACGTTTGAAAAGATGGAATGAGACTGAATCAGCCTCGGGGAATCATTTGGAGTTCTACTGATGAATACAATCCGGTGTTATCCCTGATCAGGAAGAAACCAGAACTAATTCCATCAGATATAGCACCGCAAATCACACTCCCTTGTCCCGTGCCTATGAGGGGTCCATCACCCAGAGACCCGCTCCACGACAGCAGCAGGCAGAGCCAGCGCAGGGCAGCCCGCCAAGGATGCAAATGCAGAGCCATCGGGCCGGTAGAGACTTTAGTTCTTAAGGTTGAAGGTCGACCGCAACCCTAAGGTTTAGGGTTTAGGGTTAAGGGTTTAGGGCAGTGAGGGGGTACTTGATCCAATGCAAGGTGTGCTCTTTCATTGATTCATCGGCCTTCCTTGGGCGCTCTCTGGTGGGACTACAGCCCAAAACCCCTACAACCCTGAACCCTCCAGAAACCCTACGGAAATTCCAACGGAGGAAGCCCGATAGAACTCTGTGTCGAACCTTTATGGATTAGTAGAACCCTTATTCGAACCCTTTGTACGAACGTTTGTAGAACCCTACACCCTAAACCCTTATGTAGAACCTCAATGGTAGCGGGGAGTGACTAAGAGCCAGTTCCTGCGAACGAAGGCGAGCCGGCCGCCGAAATATTGAGCGTTTGTCTCCGGATTTCCTTAAATATTCCTTTGAGGATTTTTATGCGTTCCTGTAAGGACTCCGTTAAGAATGGCTTTGAGGGGTTTCGGGTGTTCCGGGTTTCAGTGCAGCATCTGGACGGCTTTCGGTTTGATTAGGGAGTTTGGAAGTTTGGGTTGAATCATAATTAGAGAGACAAGTAGTGATGGTGGTGGTGGTGGCGGCGCTGGTAGCAGCACTAGTAGCAGTAGCGGTAGCCGTAGCGGTAGCGGTAGCGGTAGCAGTAGCAGTAGCGGTAGCCGTAGCGGTAGCGGTAGCGGTAGCAGTAGCAGTAGCAGTAGCAGTAGCAGTAGTAGTACTTCTTAATGATGCGCGACTCAACACGAGGCTCGACTTCCCAAAAGGGCAATGCGTGGTAGGTTGAAAGG